TCTTTTGCGTACTAATATATTATATTATTAAATATTTATTTTAATTATATTATAAAATGACGTCTTTTTTAGTCATTTACATGTTTATCAGTTAGTTTTTGTCAAACATGATTGTTCATCAGCTAGCTTATCAGCGAACAGTTAACTTATCAGACACCACTGCACCAACTAGTTTATCAGGTAGTTTGCCAAATATAGCCAAATTTAGATAACGATATAAAACAATTTAAAATGACACATTGATAAATTACTCAGTTCTAACATATAATAAGCATAAATGAAAATAAAGTTAAAAAAACAATTGTTCTTGTTGAGAAGTTATCTGAAGTAGTTTTTCAAAAATTTGGTTCATAGTTTCACAAGCAGTGTTTTTCGATAAACAAAAAGATAAGTTAGTTTATGGTTATTAGGCACTGGCCTTGACTGGTTTCATTGTTTATCCAAATAGTTGTTAACTATTGAAAATTACCATTTTATAAAAAGTTCGTTAGAATATTTCTAACAGATTTTCTATAGTTTTTCTCTAAAATCAAAAATAAAAAATTTTAAAAAATAAACTGAATTCCAACAAATTCTGTATTTTAGAAATTTTAATAGAAACTATATTATTATAATATTCAATGGTCTTAATACAAGGTTTATATAAAATAATAATACATTCAGTTTCATTGGTGGAAAAAAAATAAAAAAATTATTTCTTTCTTATATAAAGTTTGTTGAAAATCACCATCTTATAAAAAGTTTGTTTGAAAGGTTTTTTAAAGTACTATTAAATGCATCGAATATTTTAACAGCATAATTAGTAATAGAATATTTAAAATGGAAAAAACATTAGAGATTGTGTAAAAAGATTTGTGACCGATAACCCCCAAGCTGACCAGATTCGTCATTCCAAGAGCATCATGTGAGAGTAACGCCAGGTGGCTGACTTAAGAACGTTTCTAATAGATTTTTCAAAATTGAGAAAATTAAGATTTTAGGATTTTTTTTTTTATAACTTTTTTGGTTTCAATAAATTCTCCAAAACGGGGAAAAAAAAAAGAGAAATGGTAAAATTCTTGAAATTTTGAGAACACTCTAAATTTAAATGCAAAGAAGCACGGGTGCTCAAAAACCGACCAACCTGAACACCCCGCCAACCCAACCCGAAAACCCCTAACAAAATTCAACATGAGGTAACCAAACATATAGTTGCTACAAAATTAGGTCAAACTGTATCTATTGGGTTGGAATTGGGTTAGGGTCATTTGAACCCAACCCAATAAACCCATTGTATTTCTTTACAATTGATTTAATATGATTGTTAAGTATTGATTAACATATGTACACTGGACATTAGATCAATTTCGAATTAGCTATATTCAAAATTATATCATAATTTCAATTGTAAATTTACTTTCTTATTTGTATGAACCTTCGACTTTTATTTTTGAGTTTGTTAGCCTTTTTTCTATGTTATCATTCAGATTTTAAGTCTCAAGACTGTAAAAGGATGTATCAAAGTTTCAACCCGATAACCCGCATGGTTTGGGTTGGATGAGGTTGTAATTTTTCTTGGGTTGGGTACATTGGTTGACTTGAGGTTTTTCAAACCTTCAAATATTGGGTACAGGCCAACTGTAACACCCCAAAAATGGGACAGCAAATTTCTTCACAAATAAACCAAAAATGTGGTATAAAATATCAAAATACGAGCTTTACCCAAAAATGGAACAATGTACACCAGTTAATTGCAATGTAAAGAAATTAGTTTGAGACTAACAACCTCCTAATATAATCCTTAAAGAACTAGGTTACAATTGTATCTCACTCAAACCATTGAAAGACTAGCAATGCATTGGTGTCCCAAAATTTCTACCCTAAAGCTCTCTCTACTAGGACCTCTCAAGTCTGCTTAGTACCCCCGCCACTAGAACATGAGATACATGTCGACACAAAACAAGTGTTAGGCCAAATAGTCTAGTGAGCAAGAACATAAAGCAAGTAACGACAATTGATTAATTTAACCTTTTACAAACCATTTATAACATTCATTTAGAATCAATGGGAGAGATATGTGTCATCCTAGCAAGTTTCACCTCAAGAGCCGGCTGACCTTAGTGTCTACCCTTGCGAAAAACACCTCAAAGATCAACATATTTAGTGTCTACCCCTAAGGTAACACCTCAAATGGTGAAGTTCCTAGTGCCTACCTCCAATGTAGCACCTCAAGACTTAACCCTCCTAGTGCCTACTTGAAGAGATCATCCAAGAATAAAATGACAAGTAGGGAATATTCATATAATTCAAATGAGGATATATACTACGTAACTCAAATAAAAGACTAGTGATCCAACCACCATACCTATCATATTCAATGAAGTCCCCACTTACAATGACCTCAACTAGGTCAACAATGTCACAAATTACTGTTTCGTCTCTGCTAAAGAAATCTAATTCACAAATAGGTGTTCGCGTCCTGACTTGGGTTTGTTATAAAGCTCCCTCAAGACTTTAAGTCACTCTTCATGTAATCTCATTTCAAATGAAGTTTCATTATGGAAATATGGTATATTTATGACCTAAATAAAATGATTTCCATATAATATATAAAATATATACAAACAAGATTATGTAACCAAATCATCAAAAAACGGAATAATACTTGAAGTAAAGCTAGAAACGTAAGCAATGTGAACATTTTGACATGTATCTAGTTTTACAAAGCATTTTAAACTCACTTGCTAGGTTTTTAGAGAAAACCTAGAACTTAGCAAAACCCTGTAAATGAGGACGAGATCTTGAAGCTTTGATCCTAAACATGAATCTTCTAGCTTAGAGGCCCTTAAATGCTCTCAAAGAATGTGACATTCTTGCCTTAGATGCTTCTAATCGAAATAAAAGAAGAGAGTGGGAGGTAGATGAGAGTGATGAATGAACTCAGGGCTGAAATCTCGTATTTTAACCAATGGTGCGATGTACAACTTGAGTATGCTATGCTAGGGTCGCAGGTGCAAGGGTCGTGCGTGTCCAATATTGTCCATCAAGACACTTACAATACAAATTTTCGATGATGGTCATGCGATGCAAGGGCCGCACCCTCAAGGGTTGCAATCTTCAAAAATGGTCAGCTACTGTACGTCGGATGCGACCCTGGCTTGGTGCAAGGGTCGCACTAAGTCATTGGAAGATAAAGCTGTAAAGTCTATTTTGTTTAGCGAGTCCACCAAACACGCTAAGTTCTCAATCAAAAATAATAACACCAATTTACAATTTATTTATAAAACTTGGAATTATACTTTACCCAAAATTCCGCAGTGTTACACCAGCCCATGCACATCCCTATTAAGAGAAGGGATTATTATTTTTATTATTAGTTACACAAATAAGAATAATTGAAATTAAATGTTTATGAGATAAAATATATATTTTTAAATGTCATGGATATTTTAATAATAAAATTAATGTTGGATCTTCAAAATGGAAAAAACTGTTGAAGCTGAATATAATATTTCGAGGCTTTGACGTTCATTCTCCATTTTGGAGAATCTGTTGGAGATGCTCTACGCTTATAGTGACCACACGAAGTTTAATCCCCAAATAAATTGTAACTCCAACACTTCTGTTGTAAAAATCAAACTTTCACCGGTCTATGCAAAATATTACCCCATAATCAGTGTGCTGTCACATAAAGCCAACTCTTGGAGTTGAATGTAATTACTTTTACTTGCTAATGGTTCGACTTCTTTTTGTTGCTTTGTTGTCTTATCGAGTTGCTATTTTGGTTGTTACACGTGAGGTGTTCTTATATTTTGTTTGAATTGGAGTAATTTGTGTTTCTACT